CCAATCATTCTAAAACATTGTAAATTAAAAACATTTATCAGAGTTCATCCCAAAATCATTCATTGCGGAAAACATGGGTGTGTGCGCTGCGATCAAGCTGAGCCCTTCCTTTCCAAAACAAAGATACCTGAAACCATAAACAAAACTGTAAGCACGAAGCTTAGTGAGTTCCCCAGAGCACACCCACACACAAACACATACAACATATCATGCTAGCTAAACAGCTATACAGAACACATAAGCCATGCAAAAAAACACATAAGGAAGCCCTGGAAACCCTCCAGGGTCTTACTCCGGGTGCCATGGGAACCCCCACATGGTCTTAGCCCAATGCCTCGGTAACCCCCTCGGGATCTTTGACCTAGGAAGCCAGGGAAACCGTCTAAGGTCTTACACCTAAGTACCTCGGGAACCCCCCGAGGTCGTTGACCTAGGAAGTCAAGGAAACCCTCCAAGGTCTTACACCTAAGTGCCTCCGGGAACCCCCCGAGGTCTTCCATACACAATACACAGAAACAACTAGCATATCACATACCACATAATCAACTAGCATACCACATAACACGAAATCAACTAGCATATCACATAATGCATAATCGGCCGGCGTTGGTGCCTTAGACCCATTGGTATGGTGAGGAGACTCACTTCGAATGCAGAAGCTTCCTGAAAGAAATCCTTAGCTGCTACCCTGTCCACTTCCCGAGCTAACAATACCAATCAATATACCCAATTAGCAATTGGGTCCCATACCATAATCCTTAATCCATGCATGGGGTAAAATTACCATTCTACCCATGGCCCAGAATGATCCAAAACTAAGGCCCACACAAAAACAAGAGCCCAACACAATAATGTCCATAAAACCATTAATGGCCCAATTTTCCAAATTGAGCCCGAACCTTTCTAATAGACTTTATTCTAAAGCCCAATATTCTCTTTTGTCAATAATCATGTCCCCAATTGGCCCACGAAGGCCCACAACAACCTAATCCAAGAATTGGCCCAAACTGAGGCCCACAATGTGAAGTCCATTTCTATATTGGTCCACAGGGCCCAATAGGCCCAACTATTCCAATATTGGACCAAGATACATTCAGGCCCAACAAACAGCAAGTCCAGGCCCAAAACCAGTAGGGCCAAAAGGTCCGAAGTCCACTAAGGCCCAAGTCCTCCTGAAAGCGTACGCCCAGCGTACCTCTTCTGTACGCTTAGCGTACTGGGCAAAAGGGTTGCACGCGCAGCGTAGTACATTGTACGCCCAGCGTACAAACGGCTGATGCACAAATTCCATTAAGTGCTTAATGCTTCAAACCAAGGGACCAAATTACAGATATGAGCTCTACCTAATGTTTTAATCCATAAAGTCACTGACTTGGTGAATTATATGATCCACATGAACCCAAAATCAAAGTATAACAATCTACTTACATGAAAATGACCATAACTCTTGCATGAATCCATTAAGACCTCCAAGATGGCAACTTTCTGGCTTAGGGACTTAGTTAGCACCAAGGGTGGCAACCCTAAGCCTAAAAACGGATTTGGAACCATAAAGCTCCATTCTTGGGACCAAAAAGATCCAAAAAATCAACATAATAGAACTAAGCATTCAATGATCAAGATAAGAACTTTATACCTTCATCAAGCTGAAAATGAGTCACAAAAGCCAGATCCATAAGCTTCTTCTTGATCTCCATCTTTGTATCTAACTCCACCTTCTTGAAAATGGGCCAAACATTCCAAAAATGGACTCCAAAAGCTCAAAATGCCACCATGAATGGTATAAGACGATTTCTAGGGTTTAGAGGGGTGGAGGCTGAAGATATTAGGGTTAGGTTATGATATAAGGAGTTTAAATAGGGTCCAACACCATAAAATATGGTTCTGATCTGACTGGAGTACGCCCAGCGTACATATGGTACGCCCAGCGTCCTCCGAGGAACATTCGCAACCCTCCTGGTCAGTACGCCCAACCTACTACCTTCTTTGCTAGTACGCCCCGCGTACACTTTGTGTACGCCCCGTGTACTCGACTAAGCCTGAAAACCACGAAACTTCCGAAGGCCATAACTTCTTCGTTATAAGCCCGATTCCGACGATCCTTATATCCACGAATAGGTGACGAGAAGCCCTACACTTCTAACAACTCAAACCTTTCTTAAGACCTTCCGAACAAAAATCCATTTTCCACAAAAGCCCGAACTGCCACTTTACCGAAATACCCCTAGGCTCTAAAACACGAACCGAACCCCCAGATCACTTCTAATACATCACCCGCACCCAAAAAGGCCTATATCTTACCTTCCCAAGAGCCATAATCCTTATAATGACCGACCTTCGAGCCACAGCCTCAGACTAGGAGTCAATTCGGAACAGAGTGTTACAAAACGTATCTAAAGCTGCTCCCAAAGTACTACTCCCCTCGAATTATCTGAATACAACATAAAAACATGAGCAGAACGGGAATTCTAACAACTGGCATGAGCTGAACATTATTCAACTTAATGCACATGAAATAACATAAAATACGATACAAATTGTTTACAAAAACTACCCTAAAAGATGCATCAAATGGCATCTATCACCGACTGTCGGTAGAAACGTCGGGGTTACAACGTAAGCATTGGATCAGAGTTAAAAAACATATATTAAATAATACAAACACTACATTCTTCCATTAATTTGGTATGACGAACTACATTTTCGTTAACCTAAGAAGCGATAATAACTAGAACAATTTCTACAAATGTAAGTCAAAATGAAACAAAAGGCCTAACAAATTGGGCAACCATTTAAACAAGAAAATGCATAAATCCATGACACACAGGGGTGTCTTCCAGCTCCTAAGATCCTGAGATACATACGTTTGACCCTTGTAAAATACATACAAATAAATTGCTAGATTTATGTGAGAGCTCAAAGGGTGGTTAGACTCCTGAATTATAAAAGTATAAAATGCAATATGTTTTACCCTTGTAAAATACATATAAGTAAACAGTTTTGCATATAACTTTGAATCCAAGTATTTTTATAAACAAGAGTGTGATTAAACTAATGACTTGTAAAAATGCAAGTGCAACACGTTCTACCCTTGTAAACCTATACAAGTAAAAGATTTTTGTTTATCGTTCTAACTCTGAGAATTTTTATTCCTGCACATTCAAGAGTAAATTTTTGGATTCAATGTGAGCCCATAACTGACATAGGTGTTTAACACCATTAATGTTCCATTTTATATAAAAACTGTTATGAACATAATTTTTGTTTATTTTATATAAAAACCTAAATAAAACATTTTTGGACCACTCTTTGTATAAAGCCTATTTTTATATAAAATCATAACTCATTTATATAAAAATCATATTTTGACCATTTTTGTACAAATCGTTTAGAAAAATACATATATATATATATATATATATATATATATATATATATATATATATATATATATATATATATATATATTTATTTATCAAATATATATGTATTTATGCTCTACACCATATTTCATTTAACCAAATGCATTTTAAGTCCATTTTTCATATAAAACTGAAATTGACATACTAGGTTGCTATTTTGTGTCAAACATATGTTAAAAGTAATTTCACGTCTAAAAATTTATGGCTATGTAAAGCATATCATTTTGCATAAAATTGTCATAAAAGAAAAACGTGCACATTTTTTGGATAGTTATTTAACTAACCACTTACCTAGTAACATATTATGACTTATTATACACATAACATGTCATAACATTTTTATAAAACCTAACATGATTATTTGAATTTTAACATAATTATTAAGTATATATAACCCAAAAGACTCACCCTCATTGCATGATTTCAAATTTGGTTTAAAGATCATGGCTTGGATCATGTTTTTCTTGACTTGGATGTTTAAGATTTTGAATCAAATTAAAACTTGAAGCTTGTTATTATTAACATAAGGAACTCGAAAATCAACTCTTTTTTGACCCATTAAGCATTGTGGTTGTTTTGTAATTCAATTATCCAAAAGGGACTATTTTTTATCAATCTATACAAATGGAGGCCGTTTTGGTTTTACTTAACTATTTTAGGGGATTAATTGATTAAATAGTACAAACAAAGGGGTTTATTTGATCGAATGGTGCAAACAACAGGGATTGGGGCTTTGTTCCTCATCGGATTAAGAAAAATGAAGGAATGAATGAAGGTAGGAAGAAAACACAAAGACAACATAGGTTCCATAATTGATATCAATTAACAATAAGTATAAACAAAAGAACACGGAAAAATTAACACAAAGGTTTTCACTAAGAATATGTTCTCACCAAGAGGAAAAGGAAAAGCATAAAGCTCTAGGGTTCGATAATCAACCAATGATTAAAACCCTAGTATATAAAGATAAGTAAATACGATGTGAATCCCTACAAACTAGGAATATCACATAATCTATGATAATAATAGAGTATATCCGATATCACTAAGATATCAGATCTGCTAACTATCTATTTATATTATATAATACAAAGTATTAAATAAGCGATACATACCATGATGATACAACTTTACAAATATAACTTCATCCTAGTGCTTGAGATGATGGAATTGATTAAGTCCACATGACTGTTCTAAATCAACATATTCTAAGGCTTGAGCTTACAATTTCCCCCAATTTGATGATAAGCCTCAATTCCTCGACATATTTTCCCCTCTGCTTGTTAATCAACTCAAGAAGTTGCATCCATTCGATGTACCCAAACTTCACCAAATCTTGAGAAGACAGAACTTTGGTATATTGGCCAACATCTTTACCCTTTTCAACACTTCTTGTGATATATAATGAAATCATTCTTTCAGTATTGGTCATGGAACATCTTACTTTTATGATTAGATCTGGATCACTTCTTTTTGTCAGTAATCTCCAAACCTACTCCTTTCAAGTTTGGTAGTTGCACTTTCCTGAACAATTTTCTCCTTTGAGGCTTTCAAATTGAACTTTTTCAATCGTTCAATCTAATTAGCGGATTGAATGTTATGTTTCTTGGCAGACTCCCTAACCTCTTCAGTATAAACACCCCATAGATTTTTCATCTCAGAAATTGTATGCTCTTTACATTTCTTCGTGAAAGGACCAGCATCATTGGTAGTTGTTGCCTTTCTTTTCTTGCTTAGTGGAACATCATCTTCATAATATTCAATGACAAATGGTTCCCTTTGAGGAACATATTGCTCCCCTTCAAAAACAACACTAGTTGTATCGGTTTTAGGATATATTGTCTGAAAACGTTGCACATCAATAAATGACAGGTGTATACAATATACATCATCATCAACATCTATTGGATCAGGACCATCAGGAATGTCGTTAATATTTTCCTCACTTTTAGCATCATTAGAAGCAGTGCCACTGGTCATTTCCTAAGCTAGATTTTCCCCTATTTTGGCATCAAAAGTTTGAGGTGAGGGCACAATGGCAAGTGCTAGAATTTGATGATGCGGAGCAATAGTTCGAGGAAGACTTTTAGGTAGAGGAGGAGGAGCGGACGGTGAAGGACCTGAAGATAGTGATGGTGGAGGTGGAAACACAGAGATGGAGGGTATGTTGAATGGAGGAGCTCCTTTAGAATTAGGTAGTTGTTGTTGCTCATCCCTTGGAGGTAACCGATACATATCTTATTTTTTAGTGTCAGTTCCTGAAATTATATGATTAATTTCAGTGACATCAGTATCCAATGAAACTATACGTTGATTCATGTTGGAAGTGATCTGAACTAGAGACTCTAATATGGAAAGAGTTTTCTTCTGAAAATCTTTGAAATGAACAAGAAACTGGTGTGGTAGTGATTTCTCCCCCTGAACTGTTTCTTGTGTTGGAAGAATTAGTTGAAAAAGGGGGAAGTTGTTCAGAGTGAGAAGATGATGTATGGCCATGTTCGACATGTGGAGCTTTAAAAGTGCAAAATAGAGACGTTTGAACACGATCAGGAGACGGTGTATGAATAGGAGATGCATTACCTTGATCATGTGGAGGAGTCTCGAAGATATAATCAATGTCAGCGCCATTACCTTGCTGAGTTGGAGGGGTTTCGGTAATTTATTAAATCGATGGTACGATGTTTAAACGAATTCATTTGATGAAGGCTCCTAATTTTGTAAGTGAGACATTTTCCGAGAAAGATAATGAGACATTTCCAAGTAGTGGGAAGATATTGTCGAAGAACATTTTGGTTCCTTTGGTTCTTAAAATCATAGCCCAAATTTTCTAGAACACCATGACATTCAACCATAGTAGGAAGAGGAAAATATTCATCACGAACTGGAAGTCGTAAAGCTCTTCGAATATCCGTTGTAGTCATTTAAATCATATAATTTCCATCATCGATTGTGCCAAGGATTAATTCATCATCATCGCAAGTAGAAGTATAGTATAACTCACATACATGTTGTGGAAGAAACGGATTAGCAATATCGTCAAGAGCATAACAAAGTGGAAATGTTGTAAGATAGGCCACGAAATCTTCAAATCCCTTGTTTTTGAATTTTTATTAGGGATTTTAGAAGAGAATGTGACATTGTTGGACATGATGACGATAGGAGTATCATGAGTTCCAATAGCTTTGATGACATTTGGTGTGGGAACATATGTGTAGAGAACAGATGCAGGATCCATTGTGATTAGTGTTTTTCAGGATTAAAGTCAACAGAGGGATTTTGATCACAATGGAAGCATAATGTGATGATGATGATATAAGTGCCATTTTATATTTTATAGAGCATCGTTGAGAAGTAATTATTAGAGAGAGAATAATTTGCACGAAATCTCGTAGTTATCTAGGAACGACGCATTTCCCCAAATTTTAAAAAGTTACCATTTAGAACAAGCTTCTGAGATGACGGTATATTGATCCAAGATTAGAATTATGTGAGTAACAATCATCAGCGAAAAAACAAATGAGTCAGCATTAGTGTATGAAATTTACAACAGAAAGATACGAGGGATTTTGGTGTATCACACTATTATATTGTAGCAATAGATGATCATTTACACAGTGTTGTGAGGTGTTATTAGTGTATGGTTCTATACGTAGAATCATTTACCACTTTTTTAGAATATTAATTTTGGAAGAGAACGTTATGATGCGTGCAATGCATTCCGATAAGGAATGCACCCATCGGCATAGAATGTCAGATTTTTATCAGTGTATGGGTAGGTGCATCTGACCTATCATGGTACATGATATACCCACCGACACTGATTTTTCAAGTCCTCATCAGCGTTTAGTATCATACGATAAATCATAAATCTTTGAGGAAGAAAAATAGGGCAAGAAGGGGTTGGTGCGTGTGATAAACAACGGTACATAGCTTAACCATTGGCATAGAATTTAAAACTTTTATCTGTGTATGGTATCGTACAGTGAATCGTCAACTTTTATGATAGAAGACTTATTATGAGAAAACAGGATGTCTCAGTCACACTTAGATGTAAGCAGTATGAATCATAGACAGTACATAACTCAACAACAGGGAGTGGTTTAACTCCTAGCATCATAGAGTTATGTTTACAGTTTCAGTCTAGAATCAACGATTCACCATCAATTCCTTGTGAGATTGTATAATACATAATTAATAATAAAAACAAAAAGAAATGGTAAAAATAAAAGATTCAAAAAGGAAAATGTGCAGCTTTTTCAGGAAGATCATAAAGACCCGATATGGTGTATCTTTTGAATTGAATGTTCATAAAGTACTTCCCTTTTATTAGAACCCTGTCACACCAACTTCTCTCTATAAAATAGGGAGAAATTAGCACTCATTACACATCTCAACACATATCAAGATTCAAAGATTTTAAACACCAATATAGAGAAAGAGATGTTCTTATCCTTATAAGATGAGATTATTCTAATGGATTTCAAGCTTCATAATTATCACAGAGAGAATAGATCTAAAGTTACCCACTCTTTGTAACCAACGAGTTAACAAGTTCTAATATTTGTAACCTCAAAGTTATAAAATTCAGCAAGAGAAGAATCGAAGGAACAAAACCTTATGAACGTCATAATGAGAGATAAAAATCGTTGTTTAGGAAATGACTTCTTTGGACCTCGGATAGGGGTTGGTGTAGCAATGAGAGCGTCTATGGAAATTAGATGTGGCATGCTTATATCTTCATTTGACCATATCTTAACAGGTTAAGTGTCCAAGAGAGGGCAAAAAGAGCATTTAGAACATTCTATCCATACACAGTTCTTTCATATCTTGTTTCCCCAGTAAGACGCTTAGTGCCTATCACACAAACCATCATCATCATACTGAAGGATGAAATGTGCAGAATAATAGACGCAGAGCCACTGAGAATGGTTTATGAGGCCAATTTTAATGATAAGATCTTGCAACAATTGGTGTGCAGGGTTAGGTGAGCTTGTCTTTTATTTAAAGAGGAAGGATGTAGGTCAGCATCAAATTCTGAATATAGATGACCCTGAGACTTAGGACTGAGAGAAAAGAATACACTAGTTATTAATAAGAGAAATATATATATATATATATATATATATATATATATATATATATATCTATATATATATATATATATATATATATATATATATATATATATTCAATGTATACTCACTTGGTGAAAGAAAAGGAAATCTTGAATTTTTAGTTTTTAAAGAAAAAAAAGACTTCTTTTTGTAGTTTTTAAAATAACCTTTAAAGTAATGAAAATACAAAGCAGTAAATGTCTAAGAAGCAACAAACACATCAAGAACATAAATGTAATTTTTCCTGATAGCAGTGAGCAAGATTGAATTCTTTAAGTCAGTGATGTTTCCCTCCTTCTCGCTGAACTACACCATGTCGCCAACGTCACAAACTTGACTGATAGAGATGAGATTATGTCTTAGACCTTTGATATAACAAACTTCCTTGAATTCCATCGGCATGCACTGGATCGATAAAAGCCCTTTATTCTTCCTTTGTTGTTATCTTCAAACATCACTACAAGGCCATCTTTTTCAACATAATCACTTAGAAGAAACTTACAACTTGTCATATTCCTGGAGCATCCACTATAAAGATACCAAAAATGCTCCTTACCGCATAGTGCTAATAAACAAATTACGACACCCTGACCCATTTTCAATAGGTATTTTTGAAGGGCTTTGAGCATCCTAACAACCTTAAGGTGAGCATACAACCCTAAATGCTTTGGATCTATGTTTTCTCTAATTATACATGCAAATTGATTTTCCAAAGCATTATCCTAACTAGCATACAAACATGGGTTGTTGTATAATAAAAAACTAGTTAGATGACATACCTTTTCTAGTAGCTTGATTCCTTGGACCTTTAAGAGCCTAGCACCCCAAATCTTACGCCTCAAATGCGTCACACAACACCACCAACAGTGGAGGACTTGAGAGAGAATGTCTTGCACCAAATTCGGCTATAGCTCTTCTAAATACTACTAGGCGCCAATTTTAGGAGCCAAGGGTCATCTTATATAATGTGGCAAAATTAGGGTTACACCATGTAAACCCTAATGTGCATGACCTTCCATATTCCTTAGGCTCCATGGGTTTAAACCTCCATGGATCATCCATGGGTTGTCACATTGGTTTAGCCTAACCTAAAGAATTATGGATCATTGACCCACATTATAAGAATCAATGATTTACACAATCAATACCCATATCTTTAATTAGTCTCTTTTGATCACTAAATTAATTCCAAATTAATTCTTGATCAATACTAATTAAATAATATGATTTCATATTAATATATTAGAACTTATAATATATTAATAAATCACAAATAACATCTTCTCAAATGTTCATCCTTCAAATTGTTCTGGTGCCATGCAACCCAAATGGACCATGCTACTCTCGGGTCAAGTACATACCAATTATAGTTATGGGCTTAGACACTAAATCTAACAGTCTCCTACTTGGATAAGTCTAATAACTATAACTGCAAGTACGACTTAAAACACCGACTAACAATCGTACCTATTAAAAGCCTCTGTTGAACTGTGACGCGCCATTTTAGATAAGTGATCATATAATCCTCTGTTCTCAAGATATCAATCGGACAAATACATGGAATAACGTCATACTTATTGTCCAACAGTTTGTTTCATGATTTTCGATTTGTTTGAAATAGAACTTAATCGAACACATCAATTTAGTTCTGACCGGGCCCGGCACATAAGTCAAAACAAAATCATCGAGGGGCCCAAGATATCGCTTTTAATCCTCCAAGGACTAAAAGGAACAGATAAACTTTGACTCATATGCTTGTACTAACTACTCATTAAATTGTACACAACAGCACGTTTTATAGCATCAAGTTACTGAAGCGGTTTCATATTATCAATGTACAACCAACTCATAGTCAACAACTCATAT